CTCAGGGTTTATGAAAACTTTTTGACTCTGAGTCTCTGGGAGGTTCGTGCAGTCCTGGCCTGCAATTATCTGTTTTAATGAGTCCCCTGAGAGACCCTGTCAGTTGGGACACTCACTGTAGCTCATAAATGTTTCAAGGCACTCAAGGTAAATTTGTTATGACACTTCTTTTTGACACTGAGTCTTTGACAGGCTTGTTCAGTCCTGGCCTCCAATTATCTGCTCTAAGGAGTCCCTTGAGAGCCTTTGTCAGGAATGGCCCTCAGATGGGCTCATTAGAGCTTGAAGGTACCAGAGGTTTGTTAAGGTACTGTGCCTTTTCTTTTGATTCTGAGTTTTGAAGAGGTTTGTGCAATCATGGTCTCCAATTCTCTGCTTTAATTAATCCCTGGAGAGACTTTGCCTGTAGTGACACTCAGTGGGACCCATTAATGCTTCCAGATACTTTGGGTTTTCCTTCTGACTTTTATTTATGGACAGGTTTGTACAATCTCCCCTCAGTACCTGAGGTTCAAGGACTCAGCACCAAAAGCCCCCCAGGGCTCACTCAGATAAAGCAAGTCCTGACAAACCATGGCCCTTCCTGTGATTTCCCTCTAGTCTAGACAGTAAATTAGGAATGTTGTCTCATGGAATCAGGGGACCATTGTGACACTGCCCAGAGCCTTTGTCTGCCTGCACTCCTAGCCTGCACGGATCTGCTTGAAGGAGGCTTTGTCAGTGCCTGCCCTCAGTGGGGCCCAGCAATGCTTCAAGGGACTGGGAGTTTGGCTTCTGACTTCTTGAGCAGCTTCTTCAATCTTCTCTCAGTACCTCAGGATGATGGACTTGTCTCTAAACACACTGTGGGGCTCATTAAAATACAGAAAACCAAATTATTTTTTTTCCTTTAATTGTCTTTGTGTCTTCAAGTCTTCAACAACTAATTGGAGTTGTATTATAGTTTAGCTGAGGAGGAAGCTTTTAAAGTGGAAGTCACAAAAATATAATTTTCTATGAAAGGGAGTGATTTACACAGAGCCTTGGGATGCAAGAGGGTCAGGGTGCAAAGGATTTGAACAGAAAGATAAGGGGGCAAAAGAGATTAGTAGCATTTAATCATTGACCAACTTAACAGTTAGCAAGTGATTCAATATAATTTTTGCAATTGAACAGTGACTGAATTATAGATTCCCAATAACAACACTCACACCACAGTCAATTCACACCCACACCCTGCTGCAGGCATTTCATGCGAGCGGGAAAGAACGACACATCTATGAGATGCAGATTCAAATCCGTTTTATTATCAGAAGGCTACTCAATATATAATCTTTTGAGTCTTGGACATGCAACCACGAGCACAGCATGCTATTATGATTGGTCAGCACACACTGTTCACGCGCCTCAAACAGTCCATTGATTGGTGGTCCTAAAACACACATTCCTGGGAAAAGTTTCTGTTATCACCGTTTCTCTCACATTGCTTTTTGCTGACCTCTGCATTCCTGCAGCCGAAAACTTGTTCTTGTTTGTCTAACAGTCAACTCCTGGCCTCTTCAGAACTCAGTATACTCATCTAAAACTGCTAAGACCCCAGCATTTCCCCCCTTCTGTTTAAGCATAGAATCAAAGCTACGAATAATACAATCCTGAAGACACCTAAAAACACACAGAATAATAAGTAATAAAACCAGAATGAAAACGAGTATAGACAGCCCTTGTTTAAGTATATCTTTTAGCCAACCTCCTACTCCCCAAGACGCCAGCCAGGCGTCCAATCCCACAGATCCTTCTTTTACATGATGCATGCATTCCTTAAGCTCTTGTAACTGTTTGTATATGCTCTTGTGAATGATCAGATAGATTCATGCAACACATTCCCTCAAAATCCTTACACCCGTGCCCATGGGCTAAAAGCGAAAAATCAATTGCTGCTCTATTTTGCAAAACTGCATGTTTTAAGCTATTTAAAAACACACGCGTAACCCCTTTTTGTATTTGTGCCAGGAAAATCGCCTGGGTCGACCTTTG